TTTTATTTTTTATGATGTTATTTATTAATGATCTTGATAAAAAAATACCCACTATTTTGAACCCTAGATTTTTTGGGTAAAAATTTAAGTAAAATCGTACAAAGGAATGACCATGAAAATTTTGCCTTTTTGTAAAACCCATTTTGATTTTTGAGTTCTAATAGTGTATTTTTCAGTTTAGTGAAAAAATTAATTAATGCTTTTTCCCCCCCCCCCCCCAAATTTTTAAAATTTGTGTGCAAAAATTACTTTGTTCACATTAATCAAGACATAACTGTATAACAAGTTAATGAATTGAGAAAAATTTACTTTTTAGCTTTATGTATAGATTTTCATGTTGCACTTTTTTGTGAACAGCGGAGGTGAGGCCAAAGAGAAGTTTTGGCCAACAGTACATTTGTGTACAGATCATCTACCAAAGAACAAACCTCGGTATTGCATGGGTGTTGGCTTTGCTGTTGACCTTGTTGTGTGCTGTGCTCTTGGAGTGGATATGTTTGATTGTGTATTTCCAACTCGAACTGCGGTAAGTTCCGAGTGATTAATTTTTTCATATTTGCAGTGGAGGAAGTAGTGTAATGCGCTGTTAACATAACAGATCAAATTAGAATGTGTTTCTTCTTTTTTTAACACACCTGCCACCTCCCACTGAGGTAGTGTGAACTCACTCACTCCCTCTAATTCATTTTAAGTGCTAAACCAATGTGGGTCATTTAGTGCAAGATGTGGTGGAGGCTTGATCCTCTGTCTGCTGAGTGCCAGACAGATGTGCTTCCCATTTGTATTCACCTGTGTCTTGATAGTGTGAACTAAGAGAGAGAAAACACATTCACTGATATTTATTTAATCGATCTTGTCATAAGTGTGCTAACATCACAGTTCAGATGACCTCACCTCTCCCCTTTTATAGAGTGCAAGTACGTACTGTACTTTCCACCTCCAGGACTAACCAGTTTCTCTGATTCTCTCATAAGTGATACCGTAGTATATGTAATACTTTATAAATACTTGTTTGAGTTTGTGGGCTCCCACTCTTGATCCTGCCTTTTGTGATTGAGACTTTTTCTTATATACAGTGGTACCTAGACTTACAAGTGCCCCAACTTACAAGTTTTCCGAGTTATGACCTGTCGCCCGGTTGATTTTTTGCTTTGAGTTACGAGTCAAAATCCGAGTTACAAGCAAGCTCCAGATAACTGCCACTAGTTGGCGTAGCGAACGCCACAACATCTGCCTAATATCCTGCATCTCACTCGTTCAGTGCACATGGTTACCTTGCCGGGGAAGCATCTTTCTTGTGTTGTGCTTGCATTTTGTGCTTTTTGTGCAGTTATTTTGCTAAATTTCTTTTTTCTTACCGTGGGTCCTGTAAGTGCAAAGGACAGTACTGAGAAGAAGAGGATGATGTACATTGAATTAAAGCATGAAATCATAGAAAGACACAAGTGAGGTGTGCGTGTAGTCGACTTGGCGAGGCAGTACGAGCATTGTACTTCTACAGTATGTACCATACTTAAGCAAAAGGAGTCGATAAAGGCTATAACGCCACCAATAAAGTGTAGCAAGTAAGTTAAGCGATTAAGTGATAGTTTAAAATGAATGAAAGCAACTGAAAAAGCACCAAACGAAACGAACTCCTCCAGTCTCCTCTGCCTATCTTTCCCATCCACCTCTGCCAGCATCTTCTGATAGCCCAAGTCGTTTGATCTCCAAGGTAAATACACTTTATAAAACCAGTTTATTTCTTTACATTCTCTTTTATTATGTTTTTATTCAATATTTCTTATTTATAAATACATTTTTCTTATTTAAAAACCCGTAACAAAAAAATTGGGATGGTTTTTTTAGGGGCTGGAATGGATTAATGGCATTTCAGTTAATTTCAGTGAGGTAAATTTATTTGATATATGAGCAAATTGAGTTCTGAGCTCAGTCACAGAACGAATTAAACTCATAAGTCAGGGGACCACTGTATGTATATTTTTTTTTTTTCAACAAACCAGCCGTATCCCACCGAGGCGGGGTGGCCCAAAAAGAAAAACGAAAGTTTCTCCTTTTACATTTAGTAATATATACAGGAGAAGGGATTACTAGCCCCTTGCTCCTGGCATTTTAGTTGCCTCTTACGATACGCATGGCTTATGGAGGAAGAATTCTGTTCCACTTCCCCATGGAGGTAAGAGGAAATAAACAAGGACAAGAACTAGAAAGAAAATAGAAGAAAACCCAGAGGGGTGTGTATATATATGCTTGTACATGTATGTGTAGTGTGACCTAAGTGTAAGTAGAAGTAACAAGACGTACCTGAAATCTTACATGTGTATGAGACAAAAAAAAGACACCAGCAATCCTACCATCGTGTAAAACAATTACAGGCTTCTGATTTACGCTCATTTGACAGGACAGTAGTACCTCCCTGAGCGGTTGCTGTCTACCAACCTACTACCTAGGATGGATATATATATATATATTATATATATATAATATATAAAAGGTAGTAGTTGGTAGACAGCAACCACCCAGGGAGGTACTACCGTCCTGCCAAGTGAGTGTAAAAACGAAAGCCTGTGATTGTTTTACATGATGGTAGGATTGCTGGTGTTTTTGTCTGTCCATAAACCATGCAATTTCGGGTACATTTTGCTACTTCTACTTCCCACTTAGGCCATACTCAGTAAAAGCGTATATAAAAACCCCCTTTTGGGTTTTCTTTTTTTTTCTTTTATTTTCTTGTTCTTGTTTTTTCCTTTATCTCCAGGGGGAAAGTGGAACAAAAATTCCCCTCCGTACCCCATGCTTTTTGTAAGAGGCAACTAAAATCCCGGGGGAGAAAGGGGCTAGTAACCCTTCTCTGTATATTTACAAAATGTAAAAGGAGAAACTTTTGTTTTTCCTTTTGGGCCACCCCGCCTGGGTGGGATAGGCGATGTGTTAAAAGAAAGAAAAAAAATATATTTTTAAAATATATATATAGGTATAGGTTGGTAGACGAAACCAGGGGGGGACTACCGCCTCCAATTTGGTGAAAAACGAAAGCCTTGATTGTTTTACATGATGGTGGATTGTGGTGTTTTTTGTCTGTCTCAAAATATGCGATTACAGACATGTTTCCCTATTCTCTTACAGTTAGCTACACTACACATCATGTACACATTTATTTTATACCCCTCACTGAGTTTTTTTTGATTTTATTTAATGTTTTTGGGCTTTTTTAATTTTTCCTTTTTTTCCATGGGGAAGTGGAATAAGAATCTTTCCTCCGTAACCCATGCGTGTTGAAAAAAGTCAACTAAAATGCCCGGGAACAATGGCTATAACCCCCCTTTTCCCGTAAAGATTACTAAAAAGAATAAGAAGAAAAAAATTGTTTTAAAAGGGGGAAATCTGATGTGCGTGGATGTTGTGCAGAGATAAGAAAAGAGTATTGTGGTGTTTTTGAAGAGAAAACTGGTGTCGGTTTAAGTGAAACAAAGTGAGGGGGGGGGAGTTTCGTGGAGAGGAATAAATGGGGTTAGGTCAGGGGTTTTAAATAGGTTAGAGCTAAAGAAGGGTAGCAATAATGTTGAAGGGTAAGCTTGGCAGGAAAAAAGGGACTATAAATGTATTAATTCAAGGATTATGTGGAGTAAAATAAAAATTGGATGTGAAAAGTGGGTTATAATAAGCGTGTATGCACCTGGAAGTGGTAGAGGAGAGAGAGAGTTTTTGGGAAATGTTGAGTGAATGCGTGGGAGTTTTGAATCAAGTGTGAGAGTAATGGTGGTTGGGGATTTCAATGCTAAAGTGGGTAAAAATGTTATGGAGGGGAGTAGTAGGAAAATTTTGGGGGTGCCAGGGGTAAATGTAAATGGGGGGGCCTTTAATTGAGCTATGTGTAGAAAGAAATTTGGTAATAAGTAATACATTTTTATGAAAAAGAGGATAAATAAATATACAAGGTTTTGATGTAGCACGTAATGAAAGTAGTTTATTAGTTTAAATGTATTGGTGGATAAAAGGTTGATGGGTAGGCTCCAGGATGTACAGTTTATAGGGGGGCAACTGATATATCAGATCATTATTTAGTTGTAGCTACTTTTAGAGTAAGAGGTAGATGGGAAAAGAGGAAGGTGGCAACAACAAGTAAGAGGGGGGTTTGGAAAGTGTATAAACTAAGGGAGGAGGAATTTCGGGTGAGATAAAAGGGCGCTATTGGCAGAAAGGTGGGCTAGTGCAAAGTTGAGTAGTGGGGGGTTGAAGAGGGTTGGAATAGTTTTAAAATGCAGTATTAGAATGTGGGGCAGAAGTTTGTGGTTTATAGGAGGGTGGGAGCAGGGGGAAAAGAGAAGTGATTGGTGGAATGATGAACAAAAAGGGTTGTGATAAAAGAGAAAAGGTAGCTTATGAGAGGTTTTTACAAAGCAGAAGTGTTATAAGAAGAGCAGAGTATATGGAGAGTAAAAGAAAGGTAAAGAGAGTGGTGAGAGAGTGCAAAAGGAGAGCAGATGATAGAGTGGGAGAGGCACTGTCAAGAAATTTTAATGAAAATAAGAAAATTTTTTGGAGTGAGTTAAACAAGTTAAGAAAGCCTAGGGAAAATATGGATTTGTCAGTTAAAAACAGAGTAGGGGAGTTAGTAGATGGGGAGATGGAGGTATTGGGGTTATTACAACCTAGGCTTTCAAATGGCCTGTTAACCCAGGTGTAATGGGAGCAAATAAACACAGTAGAAAAAGTTTAGACTTATATTATCCTTCACCAAATTTAGAACAGCAATATGTACACTATGTACAGTAATAAATATAGTGCACGTCACGGTAAGCAAGGCAGAAATAGAAGCCACAAGAAAGCAGACCGTGCTTCAACCAGCTCTAGAATGGGAATGACAAGGGCAGACAGGAGAGCGGTATCCACATAACCTCTGCGATTGTCAATCCCACCTTCTTATTGGCTAGAACCTGGTCACTAGTTGAACGATGGGGCCCCATCATCAACTCTTAGCAACCTGGTTCGCTGGTTGGGGGAGATAGCCTGTAAATGAGGGTGTGTCCATTGCGCCGAAAAAAGGGTTTTACGTACTCTTTGCATGCCACACCCCCACCCCCGAAGAAGGCCTCAGGATTAGGCTGCCACCTCCCAGTGGTAACCGTGCCGCCATGGCACAAAATAATGGGACCGCCTATCCTCTCCACCATCCAACTCTTAGATAGAGCTCAGCTTTCCTAGTGCCTGAAAGCCAAACCCTAAACTCAGAGTGAGACAGCATCAGAAAGCCAACATAGGTCCAAGATACAAGCGGACGGTACCCCGTATCCCCTCACAAAAAAAAAAACCCCACATCAGGGATAAAAAAAAGAGCTTGAAAGGGGGGTTACCACAAATACATCCTAACCAAAATTTAAAATATTAAACTAGACTCTTGACAAAGAGTCTGCCAACACATTTTCTTTGCCGGCCAATATTTTTTAATAAAAAAATTGTAGGGCTGCAGCCTGAGAGTCCAACGCATAAGCCTTGTGTTGTGATTCTTCAGGGCTTGGAGATAGA